GTCTATGTAACAGTATCTTTCTCTTCTCTCTCTCTCTCTCTCTCTCTCTCTCTCTCTCTCTCTCTCTCTCTTTCTTTCTCATTTCTTACTTAATTCTCTACTGACTTATTTGGCTGTTTCTTTCCGCCATCTTCTTGTCATCACATCCGCTATCTCTGAACTGTTAATTGATCAAAAGAATCTTATTTTTTTCTTGAAAAATTTCTATAGCGACATCGCATTTTGCAGTGACTTCGCCGCGGCGCGATAATGCACCAGAAAATATCCCATCTTATATATGTACCTTTACGATCTTGGCAACAACGTGCGAACATATTTTTTAATCCCGCGCGTTTGCGAGGACCAAACATTTTTATATCTATCTGTTGACTTTTCTCCGGAAAGAAATTTTGATAAGGGATCTATTCCACTGTATTGAGAGAAATAACAATATACGTTAAAAAAAAAAAGATAAATTTCAAAGTCAGATTGAAATATTCTGCACGGCGCATAAAACTCGCAACTACTCTATTATCGGGACGACAACAGTAAATCCTCAATCTAAACATCAGAAAGGCAATAAAGAAGAAGCAGTATACATAGGGGATGCGTCACACAGTGTCGTCGGTCGTTAAGTCTAATGCAACACCCGCGTACACTCGGCCAACATCGCTCGTTTCAACGCCTGCCACCCTTCGTGCTCTTACATCGGCTTGCTATAGAAACTAGATGTAATCGATAGGACACCTACCCGTCTCCTTCTCCCCCTATCGTCCGTCCTTACTTTGTCGCGTCTCCCCCCCTCTTTCCCGCACCCTGCTCTATCGCACTTTCGCCACCCTCCCAGTCTTTCATAATGCCGGCACTATATGCGAACCGGACGAAACCACGGACGGAGATTAATCATCGGTCGATTTTAATATCGCCATCGCACGGGGTATCTATACCCCCAGGACAAGGCGGGGGGGGAAGGGAAGGGACCATCTAGCTCTGTAATTTATTAATTCATTTCTGCGCGCTTGGGGGCGCCCAATAACTCTAATTTGACCACGGTCGTTAAGCGCTTTCCGATTCGGCCCGCGCGGAGGAGGAAAATTGAATCGGCGTCGTCTTACGTAAGTCGATGAGGCTTAAAGAGGTCGGACGAGTATTAAGTGACTGGACTGCGGGCACCGGGGAGGCGAAAGAACGCGCGAGCTACCCATTCCGAATCCATTTACGTGACGTCGCGCCGTTTCTTCGCGAACCCCAGAACGGGCTTCATTAATGTCACGCGCACGTTGTCATAAGCGCGCATTTCGGTGTGTGTGCGCGTGTGTGTGTGTGTATATGTATGGGTGTTCGTCAACAAGAATACACTCACCTCCCTAATGGCTTCGTCGGTCCGCGAACGTTTACATTTGTCATACGCGACACATGGAGAACACGACGCCGCGTCGTTTTTTCGGAGATTATCAGACGAGACGTTTCGGTGACGTTTTCTGCCTTTCGGAAAGAAGGTCGTTTTCTCGTTTTTTTTCTCTCTCTCTCTTTTTTGTAGCGTGGCTGTCCGATTTGTGAAACTCGTTTATGTAAGCATAATGTGCTGGTTTTTGGCCGACTCTCGTTGCAAAAACGAGCAAATGTCAGTATCAAGTCCCATCACTTTATAATTCTCCACTGCATAATTTTTAACGGGCATTACGGTAATTGCAGGCGTTAAACAACACATCTGTGAAAAATGTTCAGGAGTTCGCGGAAAGACGGAGTTTAGAGTGCAAAGAGAGCGGGTACTCGAGCAAGCACGTGCTTGGCGCGAGAGTTAACTTTATGACAGAAAATCGTGCTGTATTCCTTCGTGCGCCCGAGACGAGCTTCATTAACGTCACGCGCGTTATCGTGAGTTGTTGTACACGACTATTCTACACAGCTACACAAAATACACATCCTGCTGTACGGCGTCTTTATTTTCCCGCGGATTTCAAAGAAGCAATTCACCATATCGCGCCATGCGAATATCCCATCGCCCCGTCGTTGAAATCATCCACGTGCGAACCTGCCGTGATGACAGAGTGATCGATCTCTAAATCGGCGAATGTATCTCGCGGATCTACACGCGCCATTAAACGCGGCCGTCTCGGTGCGACCGCGACGTTCATTATCAAGATTAAATTTCGACGTCATTTCACTCCGGCATGCGATGAATTAACTTCGCTGCGTCATCCTGCAGGCCTCATAGAATGAAGAATTAAGAATGAAAGTCAAACAAAAGTGATACAAGTCGATAAGTAAAGAATGAATAGGAATCGCGTATAGAAATTTTTGCTTCCAAAGGGAAACGTATCTAATATATATTTTATCGCTACACATTTTCATTAATCAAACAGTCATAGCTGACGTGACATGATAAATGATAATATACTGTAAATATCTCACATTTTTCAATAAAACAAAGAATGAATCTGAAAATTTCTGTTCCATTTGCACTCCATTTTTTTTTCTACGTGCGTTATTCGTTCGGCTACGTCAAAATTCAGGATTCGCAATAGGGATTATCCCTGTGAATTGAATTGCAGGGACGTGTAGATGGCAAGGAGCGACTTACTTGTGAGCTCCCTTGGTTCAAACGAAGCGGAAAATCGGAGTGTGCCGCGGCAGAAAAATAACTTCTAAACGAGGCGAGTGCGAATTTTCAGAATGCTGCAATCGGCATGAATGGGGATTAATTGATGGCTCCTCGGCCGTCGCGCCTGGCCGGGAGAGATTTTACAAATTTTCATTACACGCAGAGCTAGCCCGACACGGGCGCCCGAAAGCTCCGCGAGCGAAAAAGCGTAGAGGACGCGCAATCTCGATTACTCGCGCACAGCTTCACGGACAAACTCATTCCGGCATAACAAATTATTCGGGAAAACGACGGGAATTGTGCGGGAACGACTAACAAGAAAGTAATTTGGTGTCGCACGTTTTACGCGACGTCCCGAATTGTGCGGAGATTTCGGTGCAGACTCGACGCAAAATTCATTCGCGGATTAATAAAGGAAATATGTACTCTCTTAAATGCATATTCGAATCATATAACGAACCTAAATACTTAAATTCTTCTAATTTACACGCTTTAATTAGAAAACTTCATTTCAATAATGTGCATTCATTAAGCCCCGTTATCACATTTCTATAATTTGACGTAATTTCGATAATTAATACTGCCTCTGATTGCGGATTTATATTAAAATACCGTAGCAGAATACAATTCAAATACATTTTTTATTGATAAAATTGAAATATAGAATAGATATTTAAACGTGCGATATATTTTCATTTAAATTGCTTTAATTATATATAAACTGCTCTCGTATAATTAAAATCACAATAATTTCACAATTGTATAATAAAATATTTGCAATCAAATTTGATAAAAAAAGTTTGATGAAGGAAAAAAGAATCCCGAAAATATTTTCCAAAAATTATATAGTATTAAATATTTTATTAAAATCAAGTATTACTTATAAACTTTTCTAAAAGATTTATAAAATAACTATTGTTATTTTTTGTGAGATGTTTTCGTAAGAAAATTACTAAATCAAAAAATGCTGTTAACATTAGATACATGTATAACGTAGAGATTATCTGGCACGACGAAGAAAATATTATTTAAGAGCGTAACTTGTTGAAGCTGTGGCGTTAAAAATTACACGACGCAACGTTGACGGGGATCTCCGTTCTATTTTCTCAACGATGCAGCCAAGAGTGTAGCCTTTGCTATCGGGATCTGGAGACGAACCGAAACATCGAGTTCATCGATACCCATGAATATTGATCGGCCGTCGATTAGAACGGCTTCGCGCTCGAGACGAGGGATCGTCTATGCGATTTGACGAAGAAAAAGTTCGGCGAGGCGTAACGAGTGATGGCGCGCTTTTACAAATCCTTTTACACCGCGTCCGGCAGAACCGCGTTAATTCGATGAAAGCGACGGCGAAAATAACAAGATTATTGAACGTATCGCGCGAGTAATTCGCGAGATGCGCGCGAAAAGGAACGGCAAGAGGCAATGGAAATGATTCAAGATGACGGAAGGTTTTCCACGGCACGGCTTTAAAGTATAAATAGACTTAGCCGCGTAAAACATTATCGTTTAGCTTTATTCATTTCGCAAAAGCAGTACGAAGCGCTTCTACATCGTCGTTGCGGCAATCCTCCTCTTTTCTTTGAAGGAACAAACGGATTTAGCCGTGCAAGCGTTCAATTATGTC